CACGATCAGGGCTCACTGCAGCCTCGACCTCTTGGACTGAAGTGGTCCTTCCGCTTCAGGCTCCTGAGTACTGGGTCTACAAGTGCACTAATTTTTTTATTTTTTGTTGAGACGTGTTCTCACTGAGTTGCCTAAGCTGGTCTCTAACTCCTGTGATCCTCCCACCTCAGCTTCCCAAAGTGCTGAAACTGTAGCTTTGAGCCACTGTGCTCGGCCTGTACATTTACTTTTTTTTTTATGTCAGAGTCTCACTCTGTCACCCAGGCTAGAGTGCGGTGACAAACCTGTGGCCACCACAGCCTCAACCTGCTGGGCTCAGGGAATCCTTCCTCCTTAGCCTTCCAAGTAGCTGGAACTACTGGCATGCGCCACCACGCCCATTTAATTTTTTGATTTATTGTAGAGATGAGGTCTTTTGCCATTGCCAGGCCATTTGCCTTACTGGACTCTGGCGTGGCCATCTGCTCTTTGAGCTATGGGTGTCGCCATGTTTCCTGGCTTTGGCCCTTCCCCTGCCTTGGGGAGGTGAATCTCCTCTTCCTCTCTCTCTCTTTCTCTAATTTATTTTCCTTTTTTTTTTTTTTTTTGAGTTGGAGTCTTACTCTGTTGCCCAGACTGGAGTGCAGTGGCCACTCCCGGCCACCACAGCCTCGACCTGCTGGGCTCCAGCGATCCTTCCACCTCACGCTTCTGAGTAGCTGGAACTACAGGTGCTACCACACCGGCTAATTTTTTGATTTATTGTAGAGATGAAGTCTCACCAAGTTGCCTAGGTGGGTCTCCACCCACGGGCTCAGGCAATTCACTCACCTCAGCCTCCCAAGGCGTGGCATTACAGGCTGAGCCACTGAGCCCGGCTTAATTTACCTTCTAAGTCTACATTTTCTAATCTAAAAAAAAAGATGCGATCTCGCAAAGTTGTCCAGCTTGGTGTCGAACCTATGGGCTCTCACCTCAGCCTCCTAAAGTGCTAGGATTATAGGCGTGAGCCACTGTGCCCGGCCGTACATGTACTTTTTTTTTTTTTTTTGAGTTGGAGTTTCACTCTGTCGCCCAGACTGGAGTGCAGTGGCCGCTCCCGGCCACCGCAGCCTCGACCTGCTGAGCTCCAGCGATCCTTCCGCCTCAGCCTTCCAAGTAGCCGGAATTACAGGCATGCGCTACCACGCCTGGCTGATTTTTTGATTTGTTGTAGAGATGAGGTCTCACCGCCCAGGTGGGTCTCGAACCCGTGGGCTCAGGCAATCCACTCACCTCAGCCTCCTAAAGGCGTGGGATTACAAGCTGAGCCACCGAGCCCGGCTTTGATTTGGAGTCTCACTCCATCGCCCAGGCTCCATCACCGCTCCTGGCCACTGCAGCCTCAACTTGCTGGGCTCCAGCAATCTTTCTGCCTCGGCCTTCCAAGTAGCCGGAACTACAGGCGCGTGCTACCACACCCAGCTAATTTTTTGATTTGTTGTAGAGATGAGGTCTTGCCAAGTTGCCTGGGCAGGTCTCGAATCCGTGGGCTCAGGCAATCCACTCATCCCAGCCTCCCAAGGCATGGGATTACAGGCTGAGCCACCGAGCCCAACTACATTTACTTTTAAGGCTACATTTTTTTTTACACTTAAAATCCTTTTAAATCTATGTAATTTCAAAAGTCAACTGTATTTCTGTTTTAAAAAACTGTGATACTAGCCTATGAATAAAAGCTAATGTTTCTATATTATTACTGTGTAATGTGATAGAAATATTTCATTTATCTCGTTGTTGTGATGTATTTGTAGTCATGAGTAATCACATCTGCATGACTGAAGTTGCTGAGTTAGGTTACTAAAGAGGATATACGTTTCAGTTTACATGTTGAAGATCTATATTTTATACATTTCGCCTTTTAAGTGAATATTCATATGTAAATTTTTATGTAGTTGGTCCTAAAAGATACTTAATCCTGGCATTTTATGCAATCAGTATTCCTAGTAGAGGCAATACATGTATACTTTTAGCCTAAACAAATAATAATGATATGCTTTGGAAAATAAGTATATATGGACAGTTTATTTGTTTTGTTTTGTTTGAGTTGGAGCCTCACTCTGTCACCCAGACTGGAGTGCAGTGGCCGCTCCTGGCCACCGCAGCCTCGACCTGCTGGACTCTGGCGATCCTTCCACCTCAGCCTTCGAAGTAGCTGGAACTACAGGCTCACGCTACCACACCTGACTACTTTTTTTATTATTGTAGAGATGAGGTCTCGCCAAGTTGCCCAGGCGGGTCTCTCACCCGCGGGCTCAGGCAATTCACTCACCTCAGCCTCCCAAAGCACGGGATTACAGGCTGAGCCACCGAGCCTGGTTTATGGACAGTTTAAAAGTGGCATTTATTCCAGAGAGTCAGTTGAACAAATCTTTTTTTTTTTTGAGTCTGAGTCTCACTCTGTCACCCAGGCTAGAGTGCACTGGCATGCTCACAGCCACCGCAGCCTTGACCTTCTGGGCTCAAGTGATCCTTCTGCCTCAGCCTTACAAGTACCTGGAACTACACGTGTGTGTTACCACGCCTGGCTTATTTTTTGATTTATTGTAGAGACAAGATCTGACCAATTGCCCAAGCTGATCTGGAACCCCTGAGCTCAGGCAGTCCTCTCACCTCCACCTCCCAAAGTGCTAGGATTGCAGATTTGAGCCACCGTGCCCAGCCGAACAAATCATTTTTAATGCAGGATTTTAGTTTTCAGTTTTTAGTATTAGATTTAAAAAAAATCATATTATCAGAACTTACCTTAACTAAATTAAAATATTAAAGTGGTAGCCATATTCCATACATAGTTATCATCTTAAATAAAATAACTGTTATCACATTTTGGTGATTTCCGACTCCCTTTGCCTCTTCCTAAAGGTCTTTCTTTCTCTTTTTGGCTTTTGTGAGAAATGAAGGAAGATAGAGGTTCTGATATTTCATTGTTGTTTTTTTTTTTTGAGTTGGAGTCTCCCTCTGTCGCCCAGACTGGAGTGCAGTGGCCGCTCCCGGCCACCGCGGCCTCGACCTGCTGGGCTCTGGCGATCCTTCCAGTTCAGCCTTCTGAGTAGCCAGAATTACAGGCGCGCGCTACCACGCCCGGCTGATTTTTTGGTTTATTGTAGAGATGAGGTCTCGCTGCCCAGGCGGGTCTCGAACCCGCGGGCTCAGGCATTCCACTCACCTCGGCCTCCCAAGGCGCGGAATGACAGGCTGAGCCACTGAGCCCGGCAGTTCTGATATTTCTAAGTGCCTCACTCATAGTTATGATTTTCCTCTGTCCTGCGTTTATTCCCTTGTACCACCAATACTGTCAAAAAGAAGTTTGTTATAACCTTGCTGAGCATGGACTAGACTTGGGGAGATGGAGAAAAAAGAACCATGTTTCTTCCTTACTATGATAAGATTATTTATCTCAGAAGTTTGCTAGTTCTCGGAAATACCCCTTAAAATGTGTCATACAATAATGATTCACTTTAAAGCTAAGGTCAGAGAAGGGGGGTGCATTAAGTTATGAATGATTAATGTCTAACTGTTAAAGCCACCTTGTTTCAACAGGACTTAAAATGCTCAAAGGTATGAAATGGCAAATAAAATTTATGGTTGGTAAATTTTAAAAATAATTTGTCATTTGTCAATATTCAGCAAATTTTAAACAGATTTCCTTTGCCAAAATTCACTGTATTTCTATGAAGTACCAAGAAATAGTCAAAAACTCCATGTGTTACTTTGTCAATCCTGACAACAACCTATTAAGTAAATACTGGACGATTATTAACCCTACATTATAGACGAGGGGGCTGAGGCAGAGATAGACCAAGCCACTTGTCTAAAGCCACACAGTTAGTCAGTAGCAGCACTGGGACTTGAACCCAGTCTGTTCCGGAGCCCAAGCGCTTGGTCTTTCTTTATAGTTCTTATACTGTCAGGTAACTTGCTCTTTTTCATTATGTAATGTGCATGGTTGAGATGAGCGCCTTCGTGTTTGGAGTTCACTCATCCTGAATTTAAAAGTATCCTTCGAGTTCGAGATGTTCTGATGTCGACCGGGCTCAGGAGCCGCAGTGGCAGCGCCAAGTGTGGCTTTCACCGCGAGTGCTGAAGAGCTTGTGGCCACCCCTCTCGTGGCCTGGCCCTCCTGTGTCTGCCAGCGTCTCTCAGGAGACTCACCAGGGAAAACTTGCAGTTCCTGTGGGATCTAAAAGTGGGTTGGGATAGGTTGCCGATTTCCTGCCGTATGAATAATTCATTTTGGAAAATGATCTCCCCTCCCTGGCAGCTGTTTGCTAACGTCCAGTCCACGTCCTGTGGTCAGAGGCCGAGGAGTGGCTGGTGGAGGAGACACCTGCACGTGAAACTGTAGACTCCCAGGCTGCTGAGAGAGTGGACACCCCCTGGGCCCCCCTGGAGATGCTCTTTTGCAGTTCTTGAAAATAATGTAACTATTCAGCCTAAGCGTTAACCTAACCTGGAAGTCTCTTACTAGAGGATGTGTGTATTCACATCATGTCATTCTTTTTTTGAGTTGGGGTCTCTCTCTGTCACCCAGGCTGGAGTGCAGTGGCACGCATCCTCATGACCACCCCAGACCTGCTGGGCTCCGGCGATCCTTCCGCCTCAGCTTTCCATGTAGCCAGAACTACAGGCGCATGCTACCACACCTGGCTAATTTTTTGATTTATTGTAGAGATGAGGTCTCACCAAGTTGCCCAGGCTATTCTCGAAACTCGTGTGCTCAGGCAATCCCCTCACCTCGGCCTCCCAAAGTGCTGGAATTACAGGCTTGAGCTACTGTGCCTGGCCTAATGTATAGTTTTAAATTTTGTGTTTCCTACCAATATGGGGGTTGACATTTAGAAGTTTCTTTTAAAACTTCTATGAGATAATACTGTTTTTCCAAAATTACATTTATTATTGAAAAGCCAAGTTATTACTGTAAAATGCCCTGACTAAGGCTAAGTCATCTCTAGAATAATAAGACGAATTGCTTTTCTTGTAGGAGAAGATAGATAGCTGTCTTGGACCTGCTGGTAACCATGGCCTGACCAGCACCTCTGAAGAGAAGGGACTCCACTCCCGGCCAGAGGACAGAATGCTGAGAATATCATGGCAGGTGTGTGACCCTTTCATCGCCTGGGTGTAGTAACACTCAGATGCCAAATGTACCTACTTTAGATCCTGTGATTCTATATTTGGCTAGAGTTTTTTAAAGTTTTCCTGAAAAAGCTGCAGATATATGCTTAACACTTTTCCTCAAAGATGTATTTTCAAACTTTAAAAACCATAGGAACATCAACTGCTTTAATTTTTTATTTTATTTTAAAGGTGGACTGCTTTAATTTTAAAGGAAGTCACATCACACTTTATAATAAATCTTATGTGGTTTAGTTTAGTTGACTTTTCAGTTATTATTTGCCGAAGTCTGCCGTGTCGGACATTGTACCAAGTGCTGTGATAACAGAGGCAAACACGGCCCGTGAACACCAGCGGGGCAGGGCCCTCCATGTGGGGGAATCGATCTAGAAGCTTTACTCTCCTTATGCCTGCACCTAGCAAAATGCTTCGAGACTTACGCGCGAAAGCAAATTTGAGATTTTATTTTCAATGTGCAGGCTACCAGTAACGGTTAATTATAGTTAGAAAAGTTAGGATATTAAATGCTTGTACTTGTATTGACCATACCTGAAAGGCACGGGAAACAGCCAGAAGGATGTCTCCCGAGATGGCGCCAACACTAGGGAACCTAACAAAGACAACAAAGGCCGTAAATTCCTGCCTCTTCCGTGCGCGCGCGAAACTTAAACTCATGTACAAACATTATCTCCCTATAGGAATACTACCTCATAGCTCCCTCCAATAAAGACCCTAAGATGGCTCTGGCTGGCACGGCCAGGCTCAGAGAGCACAGGCCGCCCCCTCCCAAAACCAATAAATACAGACCTCTCTCTCGCCCTCTGTCTCTCACTCCCTTTTCCCACTAGGCGGTTACAGACCTCCTTCCCTCTCCCTGTAGCTGCTGCTCTAATAAATCTCTTGGCCTCAAAGGGTACCGAGTCTCACTGGCGCCATCGTCCTTCAATACCAATATTTAAATATTGACTTATTTTTAACTTTTTGAAATTTTTCATTTATTTATTTATTTATTTATTTATTTATTTATTTTATTTTATTTTTTTTTGAGTGGAAGTCTCACTCTGTCACCCAGACTGGAGTGCAGTGGCCGCTTCCGGCCACCGCAGCCTCGACCTGCTGGGCTCCGGCGATCCTTCCGCCTCAGCCTTCCAAGTAGCCGGAATTACAGGCATGCGCTACCACGCCCGGCTGATTTTTTGATTTATTGTAGAGATGAGGTCTCGCTGCCCAGGCGGGTCTCGAACCCGCGGGCTCAGGCAATCCACTCACCTCAGCCTCCCAAAGGCGCGGGATTACAGGCTGAGCCACCGAGCC